TGGACCGGGCCGGCTCCAGGCTGAGCGGGAGCTCTACTTCTAGGTCGAACGCATGGGCGCTATGCTCGGGAATGCGGGCAAGTCCCCTTCGCGCATTTCCGGCAAGAGACCGACTTCTTGAGTCGGCCGCCCTTCATGCACAGTCTGCCGCCGCCGTCGCCGCCACCTCCGTTGCTGCCGCCCCCTCCCGGCAAGCCCCCGGTGCTGAGCTGTCTCTTCTGAACGGTTCGCCAGGTGTGTGACTTCATGCCGAAACCGCACGGGTAGTTGCTATGGTCGCGCATCGTCCGGGTCATCGCCATGCATGGGCACATCCTCACTTCCCGATGCAAGTACTCCTGAGTCGTCAAACAGACTCATGGGGTTTGCCCATATCACTCATATCTTCATCCGCTCATCGTAGACATAGAACAAGTCGACACCAGCGACCTTGCACGAAACGCGGATCTTAATCTCCATCGTGCCCTGGCAGGCGCACACCTGGCCGCGGTCTTCTCGCGCGGTCACGTGCGCGGCCATAATCCGCAGAGTGGGCCAACTTGCCGTTTTCTTCCTCAGCCTGGCTGTATCACATCGGTCTTCCTCACATGCCATGTGCCCCAACTGTGGCAAATACTTCGGATCTCGGGCGATTCCTTTTTTTGGTTGCCCATGAACGCGAGCGGGCAATGTGTGTGTGTGTGGTTCCAACACGGCGTGGCCTAATTGAAAAAGCGGGTCTTCTGCAACACTCCGGGGTGTGAGAAGAGTGCTGCACGGGGAGGAGTCACCGAGGAAATCGCCCAGGCAGGCCAGCGGATCTCGGGCGATTCTGTTAAACTGGTCTGAAAACATGTCCCAGTCGTCATATCCAGTAGCCCGAGAAAGCCGAGTCCTCGAGAGACCCGAGCATGACTATCCCGAGGTCAAGAGAATCCGAAACTCATGCTGTGGCAGCTTTCCAGTTTCGGGAAACATGATGCTACGTGTCTGGTTGCGCCCCTGCCCCGCTTTCGGTAGCCGACCGCACCGGGGATCGGGTCAATGGAGACTTTCTCTGTCTTTCCTGCGTCGTTCCGATAGGCCGCAGGGCCGGGCGCCCCGCCGGGCGCGGAGCCGCCCCCGTCTCCGTCAGATGGGCCGCTCGGCGGTACCGGGCATCGGCCCCGACGCTTCGCTCCATCTTCATCGTCTCCGTCATGCGAGGACTCGCGTGCTCCATCGCCAGAATCATCGTCCGACGAGTCGTCGCCGCCCCAATCTGGGTCACCACCGCCCCCAGGAAGACCTGATCCACGGGGTCGCTGCGTCGATCGCGCGGGAGGTGGCGAGTCGGTCGCCCTCGTCTTCTCCCCCTGACGGGCGCCGCCGTCGCCCCCTCCATCGCGGCCGGGCTTCTCGGCATCAGGTGGGGTGCGTGCAGGGAAAGGGGTCGCGGGGGCGGCGCCTGCGCGCTCCGCCATCTCCCCCCCCCTCTGCGGCCTCTTTCTGAGGTGCGCCCTAGCTTGGGGCCCCCAGCTGCTAGCTGCTAGGGGCTCCTCGGCAACCTCGGCTTCCGATGGCCTTTCGGGCCGGGTAGCGGGCCCCCTCGCCTTGCCCCCCTCTGCAGAGCCCCATGACCGGCGTGGCTCTCTATCCCTGTCATCGCCCCAGTGAGCATGTCCATGAATCGCGGGCGCCCTTCTTTGGCCCAGTTCTCGGATCCTTCGATTGTCTCGGCGTCCTCGTCTCGGGGCGGCCGCGCAGCCGCCGCCCCCGCGGCGCCCCCGCCGCTCTTTGGAGACGCCCCCCACGCCCTCGGGCAATCGAACGGCCCAGCCCTAGCGGCCGTCTGGGGCGCGATTCGTCCCGCAACTCGAGGCGACGGGCGCAAGTCCCCGATCTGATCCGCGTCGCACCAGCGCGGGGGAGGTCGCGGGGCGCGCAGCCCCGTCGTTGGCCCGCGCGAGGTAGCGCTGCAATATCTCCCTGACGTGGTGCTCATCCTGTTCCTGGTAAAATTGCTCACGCTGCTTCTCAGGCCTCATCGTGGACTGTTCGGCCCTCGCCTCAAAGGTTCAGGCTGGCGCCGGCGCCTCATGGCTAGCCGGGCACCCTGCGCGAGCGACCTGATCCCGGCTATCTCGCGCCCCCACAGCTGCCTGAACGCAGGTCGAGCCCTCCGCTTCGTGTGGGATCTCCGCCTCGCCACGGGCGTAAGCCACTTGCTTCTCGGCCATCTCAGCCATCGCCGCGCTCTGCTGCGCGGTCCGAAGAGCTGGCGCTTCGACGGCAGCCCTGCGGGCCTGGGCTGTCCGCATCTTCCTGGGCTTCAGTCTTCATCGTCGCGCTGGTCGCCGCCGTCGCCTTGGGTTCCTGCGACGCCCTCGATCCCGCGGCGGCCCGCGCTTCGGCGGCCCTCCGGACGGCGGGCCTGGCCTCGTCTGAAATGTTCCACAAGGCCCTGGGAGCGCTCCTGGTTCGCGACTGATGCCTCGACTCTGCTGGCCAGCTCGCGCAGATCGGCCGGCGCCTTCAGGGCCTGCTCTGACGCGGCCGCCCGTTGCCTCGTTTCCATGTCTCGGAGAACCCGCGCCATTTCAACGCGGTCTGTCTCGGCCTGGAAGCGCAGGGCAGCTCGCCGCGGAAAGGCAGTCTGCGCCTGTTGCTTCCGCGCGCGCACCAGCTCTGCACCCCCCCCGGAAGGCGCCCCTGGCCGATCACTGGAAGTTGCGAAGGCGGCAACTGGGCAAACGCCCACGGCGGACGGGCATCGGGCATCGGCCGCAATGTCCAAACCAGCACTTCTCGGGGAACCGCGCGCAGTCCAGCCCGGAGTTGGATCGAGCCGACGAGACCGAACCCTATTGGCACGGCTGCGCGCCGTCAGAGTAAATCTCTCTCGGGGGCGAGCGCGAGGGGCGGACCGCCGCGCGGAACTCCGCGCGAGACTCTCTCTTCGGCCTCTCTCGCCCGGGCGGGTCGAGGGACCTGGTGGATCGGGGGCGCAGTTCCCCTCGCCGCCCCGCGGCTTGCGCAGCGGCGCCCCGTCGGGGGCCCCATCGGTCTTAGATCGCTTTCCCGTCGGCGAGGCAACCAATAGGTTAGAAAAGGCCGGGCTGCTTGCATGCCGGTCCTCTCGAGTTGCCCGGCATCGCTGCGCTCGGCAGATGGTCGCCATCAGAGAGGACATCTTCCCCTTCATGTTCGGATGTCGCGGCATGGCCGCTTGCCGTGACGGAGGATGAATCAGGGTGAGGGGCATCGGTAACGCAATTACCCGCAGCCATGGATTCGCCTTACCCCGCGTCCACGCTGCCCGCGGCGTCGGCCTAGCATCATAGATGCTCGAATCGGGGGGGCCGGTCTTCCCCCGCGTCACGGGGTAGACGTGGCGATGACCGAATCGACCTCCGAAGTTACGGAGATATAGCACCTTCCGAAACGGAGGAATCATACTCGATCGCGTAGACTTGGTTAACCGACGCCGGCAACGGGGACCGTGGGGGCCCCCGACTGCCGCGCCACTTCGTGGCCTCCTGTTCCGCGGGATCATCTGCCCGCGGCGTGTCTCGGCGGCCCGCGACCCCGCTCGATAACGAACCCCCGCGGCCAGCTGAGTCTCGCCTGCTGAGATTATTCGGGGGGCCCGCGACGGCCCCGATGACCCAGTCACTGGACGCCGCCGCGAGCGCCTTTGTATTGATATGTTGTTCGCCATGTCGACTCACGGGAGATACGGACCCAGATTATTTCATTCCTTTGTTGTATTTGGTTTGGTCCACTACCACCCTGTACTCGTTTGGCCCCAACACCTCCGAAGCCTGTGACGCAGTCGCGAGACCTCGTGCCGAGTAGTTCGGTGGATAACCAACAATTTGCCGACTCATATCCAAATCAGGAAATTTCAGATTCATAGGCATGGGTTCACGATGACCTTGCTGTTTTTCCTGCATTTGTGTGGTATCTAGCGTCCGCCTCATGTTGAAACTCGGGGTGGGAGACTTCCCCGTCGACGTAGCGTATATGTATGGAAACAAATCTACTGTAGTAGCCGACCAGAGAGAGGGCGGGCGCGCGCGCGATTTTCATCCTGACATCAGAGATAACTGCAAAGTCGCAGTTATGTGAATACGGGCGCCGCAAACCCTCTGTTGGAGGGGAGAGGCGGCGCAACTGTGCAAAAGGTGAGGGGAATGTAAGTAATGGCTAGTACAATACGCAGAACAGGCAGTGGGATTGTGAGAACATCGAGAAGGCCCCTTGATTCTGAAGGGTCGGCATGGAAAACTGCGTGTCGACCGCACGTGTTACACGTATTCCCTTCCCCGTCCCTCGCCCGTCCTGCTCCCCAGCCGCTCCTCCCCTCCCTTCATCCACCCCTTTTCCCTCGTCCCTCCCTCCCCTCTCTTTGCCCTTCCCTGCCTCCCCTTCCCATCCCTCGCATCCCGCTCCCACTGTTCCACCTCTCCTCTCCGCCGCCCTCTATCCCTCCCTCATCCTCCCTTCACCTCCCCCACCGCACCCTCTACCCCTCTCTCCCCTCCTTCGCCTTCCTGCCCCTACCTCCCTTCATCTCCATCCCTGCCACTCCCCTCCTTCCGCCTCCCCTGCGTCTTGTTCGTTCCCTCTCCCCTCGCCCTGACTCCACTCCAAAACATGGCGGTGGCCCTCCCGAGAGGTGCACGAAGGGCTTCTGTCGGGGATCTACTGACCTGGATCAATCCAAGCCTGGGTCAATTAGGCTTTGCAAGATCCTGCAAGATCCTGCGCGTTAGCCCGGGTCAGTGCAGCCCTGGCCCTGCAGGATCCTGCAATATCTGGCACTCTGACTGACCCCCGTTTGCATTGACCCCCGTCTTAAGGCCTCGCGATTTCCCCACCAACGTCGGAGCTCACGACTCCGCCCCCATGACCGGCCCGTCATCGTGGGCCGCATCCCTGAGGGCCCCGGCTCGGGGAAACGGCCGAAACCGCAGACGGAGATTCCCGTCGTGCTCCACGACGCAGTGCGGCCCGAGGGCAAGGGTCGACCAAGCGGCCTCTGTGTGCTCCGCGCTCGCGTCGCCGTCCTGCCGCCCCGGCGCGGCTGGTGAGGAGGCGGGCAATGAACGTCCCCCCTCCCTCTCACTCCTGTCCGCGAGTCAGGAGTGGCCACCTCATTTTCTCAAGTGCGCACTTTGTTTTTTCAAGGTGGCCCAAGTACTAGCCCAAGCCAAGAAGAGCCGAATGCTCAGGCCAGTTGTTCGGGTCACGTTTCACCTATTCGTGATCGGTCCATTACATTCCTCATCGCCTCGGGTGCTGTTAGAGGTGTCCCTGGCCCAGGATGCCCCCAGGCCTAGGTGGCCTCCAGAACGCCCCTCAAGACGCCCAGGTGAGCGTTTTTTCCCTCCAGGGTAACGGTCGTGACCCGGGGGCGGGGGTGATCGGGCGGGAGGGTAACTGTGACGGCGGCCGGCGGCCGCGGAGTGCACCCGCCAGGGTGCGTCCGCGCCACCGCCGGCGAATCAAGCGCCCGTGTGCACCACAATCCCTGCGTACTCGACAACGCCCAATGCCTACGTGCAACACACCGCCGCCTGCGTACACCGCAGTGCCTCCGTACACCACAACAGCCGCGTGCACCGCAGCACCACGTCGCCTATGCACCCCGCAATGACTGTGTATACTGCAGCAGCCGTGTGCACAACAGCGCCTGCTTACACCTCGTTGTTTGCGTGCACCAGAGCGCTTGTGTACACCACAGCTCCTGCGTATTCCACAGCAGACATGTGTACCGCAGCGCCTACGCCACAATGCCTTCGTGCACCACAACGCCCATGCACACCAGAACGCCAAACGTGCCAACGAGCACATCAGTAGCTTGCGATGCATCCTTGCAAGGCTCGCCACAGACCACGGAGGCCTTCTGGACTCGTCATTAATCTCCCCCTCCTCCTCCACCTCCTCCTCCTCCTTCTGCACCTCCTCCTCCTCCTCCTCCTCCTCCTCCTCCTTGTCCTCTGTCTCTCCTCTTTCAACGGTCCTGGCGGCCTTCGCTGAGGGAGGGGAATAGGCGGTGGGAGGAGGAGCAGGAGGAGCAACAGGAGTAATTAGCAACAACAGGAACATCAGGAGCCTCACGATGGGGTCGAAAGCTCCAACGCCGTGAACTTCACAAACAACGCTTGCATTCAAGCGCTCGTGCTACTCGCGCATGGCTTGCACTGGTGCCGACATTGGTAGCACCGCACAGGTGGCATCGCGTCCTGGGGCCCGAAACGGGCCCATGCGTCGCGTTCAACCTTGAACGCCCGCCCAGCCGAAAACCGCTCGACATCGGTCCCCCGACCCGCCGCCCTCCGAGCAAGGCACCTCAATAGCCTGCAAGCGCCGCAACACGCACAACACGCATGTGAGCACCGAAACATGCCTTTCGGCACCACGGCATGCCTGTGAGCTCCGCGCCGCAACAGGTGGGGAGCCTGCGAACGCCACAACACGTTTGTGAGCACCAAAGCATGCCTTTCAGCACCACAACATGCCTGTGAGCAGTCCGCCCCCTAGCGTGTAGAGGGGGTGTCCAGGCCTCCCCGCCCAATACGACCATTTGCAAGGGGGGGTTAGGCCCGGGTAGTGAGCGTTACGCCGGGGAGGAAAAACACGCTCACCAGGGAGCCCCAAAGGCTCCAAAATTGCGCGGGAACCCGGGGACACCGACCCTTGGCAACCCCAGGAACCCCCGATCGTCATCCTCGTCCTCATCCATTCTTCATCCCCCCTCCTTCGACGCTCAATGCTCAACAGTAGTCAACCCCAGAGGGCGGCGTTGTCACGCTGGGCAGGCACGCGAGGCGTGCGAACTCTCCGTGGACACCGCACAAATGCCAAATGGGGTCGGCGTAGATGGGGTCGGCAAGATCAGTCAGCATCCAATCGGACGTCGGATCGGATATGAGTGCGCGTCGGATCGGGCTACATCGGCACGGAGTGAAAATTGGACCGGATCGGCCGCGCCGCCGCAGACATCGAACCGTTTCGGATCGTCGAACTATCGAAATCGCATCGGAACGAGACGGCCAGAATCGATCTCGAATCGGATAGGTGGGATCGGAATAGACCACCGGTCCAGATCGTGCCGCATCGCATCATTCTAGATCGCACCGCATCGGTCCAAATCGCGCCACTTCGCCGATGCATCGGCGATGCGGCGCGATCCTCCGACCCCATCTGCTCCGGCACCGTCCACACAGACCGGACTCATCTGCTCATCCTGCTCGTGGTTCTCGTCCTCATTCCCAACCTCGCCGTTGTTGCCAAGAAGGACGAAGATCCTGAAAAATCTGATCCCGGACTTTGCTTCCCCGGGGCCCTCTAACCAAAGACGCCCCTGGGCACAGGACCCTTTCCTCACATCCTCTCCCAAATGACTACGTCATCATCATCATCATCATCATCATCATCATCATCATCATCATCATCATCATCAGCATCAGCATCAGCATCAGCATCATCATCAGCATCATCATCATCGTGGTCATCATCATCGTCATCATCAGCATCATCATCATCATCATCGTCACCACCACCACATTCATCGTCATCATCGTCATCATCGTCATCATCGTCATCATCGTCATCATCATCATCATCATCATCATCATCATCATGTTCATCATCATCATCATCGTCGTCATAAGAACCCTCGTGCCCCCTCTTCATCGTCCTCTCCTCCTTATCAAAGCCCTCTGCCAGCTGAGAGGGGGTATCTCCCCCAGGAACTCGCGCATCGCATATATTAAACAAGTGTTGCAATCAGAGACAGGTCAAGTAACCTGGGTTGAGCAAGTCGATCGATCGAGAGGAATGTAACACTGAAGAAAAAAAACACCTCCCCGCCCCGCACCCCCCCGCGCCAAACAGCCCTACGCGGAACAACAATTCAAACATAATCAGCATGTGAGCTTAAAATGAAAACATCTCTGCTGCGACCATACGATGACCAACCCGCTGTCAAACGCAAACGCTCCACAACCCTGCTGTCCTTCAAAAAACTGATGAACTCTTCGTAAGATATCTCCCCTTCCACCATTCGCGTCGCATGGCTTAAGTTGAAGCGATCCGGAATAGGGAGGTGATTTCGAAAATACCTCAAGTCATGCTTTGCCTCCATCGCTACAGCTGACTCAAACCAAAAGGTGATCCTCTCAAGAACACCAGAACACCCACAACAACGGCAACTACAACGATGACTGCATCGACAGCTGTGTGTAACAACTTCTTGGACGTGGCTAACAACCAACGCTTCCTCCGACAGCGTCCCTGCGAGCCCAATGACACAGAGCACCGGAGCGGATCGCGAAAGATCTGAACATGGCACGACCAACGACAAAGCCGTTTCCAGTCTCTCCGTGCACACTTTCGCGCAGGAGGACAGGAGAGGAGAAGCAAGTGATAACGGCACAGCAACACCACATAGCATGGGCCCTGCTGCAGAAGGGGGACGACAGGTAACGCACAGAAAGATACCAAAGCTTGGATGATATCCTGGAGTGTTGCCTTGCTCATGGGATGATAGAAACAACCATATAACAGAGAGGGGGAGGCAGCCGTCACATGGAAGCTCGGGGTAGGGACCTGGGCAGACCCAGGAGTTCACTAAAAATGCCCTTGATGATATTTCGGCGGGAGCCTGCTGGAACTTTATTCGGGCCATACTGGGCCTCCAGAAGGCCCAGTTGAAAGCCGTCGGGGCTCTCGTGGGGGCTTCTTGGGGCCTGTCGGGCTCCCCTGGGGCTATTTTGGAGATATCGACCGAAGAAAGAGGGGCCCTGAATTAGCATCCCCCGATCGGAGCTCGACAAAAAATGTGGGGCCCTCTTTGGCGCTCGGGGGGCCGTCTTGGACCCCCTACGGGTCCCTTTTGGGCGGTCTCGGAGGAAGGACGTGCGAGAAAAAAAAGGTATTGACACACACACACACACACACGCACGCACGCACGACTGGCTTTTCATATTTGGGAACGTTTGAACGTATCTTTCGTCCACTTGGAGCGGTCTTGTGCCAGCTTGGGGGGCATATTGGAGGCATATTGAATGCCATCTCGAATGCTGACCCATGCTTAACTGGGCTATCTGGAGCCCCTTGGGGTCATCTTGGGTCAGTTTAGACCCTCGAACCCGTTGCGAAACCATAGTCTAGAGCCCAGGGACGGCACTTCCCCTGACAAGGCGGGACAACCACGCCAATCGGCTGGCATCCATGGCACTGGCGTGGGCCTGCCTCCAAGACGGCCCAATACGCCCCCAAGGCGACCATACAAGACGAGACCAGGCAAGGGGCAGGACCTGACACGACACGACGAGACAGCATCCATGTCGGCCCGAGATGGCCCCAAGACGCCCCTAGAAGGCCCCACAGCTGCCAAAACCTTTGAAGTTCAACAGTGATTCTGGCCTTAGCGCCTGTTCGCTCCTAGAGGGCACCAATGGCCTCAAGATGGCCTCATGAGGGCCCCAAGAGAGTTCCAAGACGAGCCCAGGAGCGGCCCAAGACGGCCAAGGCCCCCAAGAGGGTCAAAAGAGAGGCCCAAGAGGTTCTCAAAATCCTTCGAATTTTGAAGCGACGACCATCAACGTCCAGCGTCCCTGGTGCTCAACAGGCCCCCAGAACGCCCCAGCAATGTTCCAGTCTCTCTTCTACGGCATAGTGTCAGCAATACCTCCCGGCCTGTGGCAACGACATCCCGGATCTCTTCTTCCCTCGCTGACTTGGCTCGGTGTTGTGTACGCCTGCGGCTGAGGCGCGCACATACCCCGATGCAAGATGCTGCCAGCCTCGATCCGATTCGGGGCCGCGCCGTCGGCCGTCATGGCGAAAACCACCGACCAAGCCAATTCCTAGGTACCTCAGCTCGGATTCCGAGCCTGGCCGTACGCACAATACAATCCTATCCCATCCGACTTCGACTTTCCGCGAGGCGGCTCCGTGGCGCTAAAGACCGACGTGCTAGAGAAGCCGAGTCGGCAGAGGGAGAAGCATTTGTTTCCGTGCCGTCGGGGACTACCCTCGCCACCTACCCAAGTTCATGCGAGTAGCGTCTGCGTTTGCGAAGGGACACGGGCGCTGGGAGTCCTGGGCAGCGTTCTGCACAATAGCTGGCATCACAATGAGTGGTGCCGACGCGGCTGCAGAGGCGGTTGTTAATTTTGATATGTTTTGGGAGGTTAGTTACAATGGGGCGCGCAACCGCTACTGCTGCCATCCGGAACCACAAACGCGAGGCATCGCTCTACCTATACGACCACCCTTCGGGTGGTAAGGAAGTTCGGGGGGGAGGGGGAGGAACCAACGTCTCATTCGATCGGCCTCACTATCGATCTCACTATCGGTCTCGCTCGATCGATCTCACTCGATCGATCTCACAACCGGCATCACTCGATCTATTCCGTTCGTTCGATCTCACAATCGATATTACTATCAATGCCACATCCGATCGCACTATCGATTAAAACAATCGGTCTCACATTCGGTCACACGATCGATCTCACTATCGATATCAAAATGGATCACACAATCAACGTCATCATAATCAACATCATCGTCATCAAAGCCATCAACATCATCATCAGCATCAACATCAACATCATCATCATCATCATCGGGACACCATCATCATCATCACCACCTCATCGCCATCATTATCAACATCCTCATCATCACCAGCATCATCATCATCACCGGGGCAGCATCATCGTCACCATCATCATCACCATCAACAACATCATCGGGACACCATCATCATCAACATCGGAAAACCACCATCATCATGAACAACATCATCAACATCATGATCATCATCGGGACACCATCATCATCAACAACATCATCATCATCATCCCCAACTCAATTCTCTTACTTCAGCCAGACACCAGGATGTATATGAAGCCGAGCCTCCGCGAGTCCAAGCACGATGGAAACGGCCACTGAGGCCACGACGGATATCGTCAAGCACCTGCTGCGTGAAACCACTCGCAAGCTGAAAACTCTTCAGGGTGGTGGAGGGGGAAGGGAGGTGAAGCTTGAGCCACCGCAGTTGCGGCGAACAAAACGAGTTACAGTTCGGGCCGGCTGGGGGTCGAGCGGCTGAGCACCGAAGCGAGACACAGGATCCACGTACAAGTGCAGCCCATCCCCAGCTCGATTCTCTTAAATTCAGCCAGACGCCAGGATGTATATGAAGCCGTGCCTCCGCGAGTCCAAGCACGATGGAAGCAGCCACTGAGGCCGCGACGGATATCGTCAAGCACCTGCAAACTCTGTTATCTCCGAAAACAGTTCACTGGCCCGAGCCGTGTATTCTTTATTGCATAAAGCGCCCAAAGGAGTCACCGATACCTCTGGCCCATGAGTTGCAGTACGCAGTGGCAAGAGCATTGCGCAGCCGCTTTGGGTAAGGCGCAGCTAACTTTGTGTAGGAATGACCGGCGTAATCTTTGCCCTGGAGCTGCTGATGACCACGACCCGTACGACTGCATATACCCCGCTTGCTGCCCACACATCTCGCGTTCGCGAGCTCGATCAAGTCAAAACTGGAAGATAAGAAACGCGTGCGTTTCTTCCAAGGGACTCCCCATTGACAGAAATCTGCGATAATAACAATAACGCCACGAGTCCGGGAAAGACGACGCATGGCAGGGCAAATCCACAGTCGACTACGGGCGGGATTCTCGAGGGAGCAGGGGATCTGAGCCTGCCCGCGTTCACGGATAAGAGACGCCGAAAACAACATCAGGATGTTACCAATCGCCACTTTCTCCCGGTCGGCCTGGGACAGCCCGCTGAGGCCCATCGGCTCCGAGTCGCTTCTGAGCCGAGGGGGCCCGGGGGGGATGTCTCGGGCCCGGCTGAAGGATGGGATGAGCAAGGCGTGGCTACATGGAGCCCAACCACCAGCCCATCCCTCACCCAGCCGAGGAGGAGGTGGCGATTGCGCCTGCACCTAAAGGTCGTAGTTCTCGCCCAGGCTAATGTCCCAGAGCAAAGCCGTCACGCCCACGCTCGAGATCGCTTCCGAGAGGTGCCCGCCCCCCGAGAAAATCTCGACGAAGACGCGCTGCCGGAGACGAAGGGCGCAGCCGAGCATTGGCCAGACATGACTTCGCTCAGCAGTTCCGTGCAGAGCTTTCCGCGGGCCTGCAGGGCGGGCGTGAGCTTGTGGGCGACCTGCGCGAGCCTGCTGCCCTTCTCGCAGCGTCTCACCGAGGACCGCGAACGCCAGCGGCCACGCCGGCGCGCGCCCCCCAGGCGGCGGCACCCCGAAGCGTAGTCGTGCGAGGCGCCGCCGTGTCGCAGCATGTACATGTGGGCGGCGCCCAGGGCCGCGCTGGCCCCCAGCGCCTCCACGACGGTCTTGAAGTTCTTCGTCGCGTCGGCCAGCGTCCCGATGGACAACGGGGCAGCCGGGTGGTGGCCGGCTCCGACGCACCTCTGCTGCGCGGCCCGCCAGTTGGCCCCGAGACGCTGGCTCGCCACTTGGTTGAGCGCTGGCCCCAGGCAGGACTGGCGGCCGAGGTCCAGCAAGAGGCCCTCGTCGAACTCGCCCGTCTTCGACTCCCGCTCGGTCTCGGCTGCGCGGGGCGCCACGCACCAGTGGGGGGCCCCGCTGACGTCCGAGACTGGCGATGGGTTCAGATCCCAACCGGACGCGTGAGATCCCAACCGCTCGGTTCAGATCCCAACCGTCTAAAATGCCAGGCACAGTCAGATCCCAACCGAGGAGGAAGCGAATAAATAAAACATATTAAATGCAATACTTGTTCATTGCTATCCGAAATTGCGATGGACACCTTACAGGAGCAGATTTACGCCTGAGTTATTGCGGTTGGGATCTGGCGCGTCTTTTGCTGGATCGTAGTAGTGGTTGAAGTAGTAGTGGTAGTTGTAGTAGTTGTAGTAGTAGTACTCGTAGTAGTAGCAGTAGTAGTAGTAGTAGTCGTAGTAGAAAAAGTAGCCGTAGTAGTAGTAGTAGTAGTCATAGTAGTAGTAGTAGTAGTATAGTAGTAGTAGTAGTAGTGG